CTCAATCCCAGGACCCTGGGATCATGACCTAAGCCGAAGGCAGACGCTTAACGACTGAGCCACCCAGGTGCCCCACAAAGGTTTTAATATACCTGTCTGGTGAGGCTGGAGATGTGCTCGATCACTCTTTCATCTTTGCCATTTTATTATAGTCTGGCCAAACCAGACAACATGCAAGTCCCAGAGCAAAATGTATTTTTCACTATTCTAAGACCTTGTACTTAGAATTAGAATGCTACTTCCTTACCCTACTTACTTGGCTAGCTCCTATTGTTCCATAAAGCCTCAACTGATTTTGTAACCACCAAAGTTATGGATGCTACAGTTTCCATAACTGGGTGAAATAAATGAGTGAAAGAACATAGTCTCAAAGTATCACCCCACTGATCAAAGGGAAAACATCTTTACAAAGGAGAAAACTGGTAGGTGCCACCTTATCCAAGTGATCAAATTTAACCTCATTAATACAGGATAAATTAATATGATGTGGATGCTGGTGTGATCCACCAAGAAGGTACAACATAACCTATGAATATTTGTGCCAAAATGCTTAACCAGAATATAGTAAAGGTAGGACAATTATGTGAGTCCAAATTTAGAGATTTTCTATAAAACAGTTGGCTCAATTCTTTTAAAAAAGCTTATGTCAAAAAATGGTAAATTATTTCAGATGAAGAGAGACTAAAGAGACCTGACAGTTAAATGCAATTGGGTAATACCTGAAAGGATCCTAGATTTAAAAATAAGAGAGCTGTAAATAATATTTTTGGGAAAATTTAGAAAATTTGAATATGTGATATATTAGATTATATATATAAAATTGTATTTTATCAATGCTGAATTTCCTTGTGGGCACTCTGTTACGTTTATGTGGGAGAATGCCCTATTTCTTAGGCAATATATGTTGAAGAATGTAGGGCAAAGTGTCTTAGTGACTGTGACTTACTCTCAAATGGTTCAGGAAAAATATGTATGTATGCATCTATGGATGGATGGATGCTGTATATGTGGGGATTTATCTATTTTCAGAGAGAGGGAGAGAGAGAAAGCAAATGTAGCAAACTGTTGATAGGTGAATCTAAGTGAAAGGTATATGGGTCCTCATTGTACTTACTATTTTGGAGTAAGTAAATCTGAACATTAAAAAAAATAAAGAGTTGGAAAAAAGCATTTAAAATCAGCCTCTAGAAATGCTTTCACAGTCTATCTCCTTGACTGTGTGAGGTCTCCCATAGTTCATACCCCCAGAACACTCCATGCATTTATCATACTCTATTGCCTGCCTTCTCCTTAGAGTTCTTAAGGTAAGATCCATTTCTCGAGTCTGACATTTATTTCTTGTGTGACCTCAGACGAACTAGTTTCTCGAGGTGTCAGTTTTTATATCTGCAAAATAGAGATTAAAAAAAATACTTCTAACCTGTAGGGTGTGAGGATTAAATGAGATCATACATGGAACTCATTTAGCAATGTGCTTGTCTTATAATAAGTCCTCAGAAAAGTAAGGTCTTATTTGTATTAGTATTACTATTAGGTCTTTAGTCTCTGTATTCTCATGTGCAGTATAATGCTTGGCTCATAATAGGTACTCAATGTTTGTGGGATGAATGAATGAATTATACACTGCCATCTGCTACCATTTGGTTGTTACTGGGTATTGTGTAGAAAGAACTTATATCTGAGGAAATGATCAAATGGTTAATGCCAAGGAGAATTATAGGCTGAAGATTACAGATTACAGTAGATCTTGGACTTCTATAAGGCGCAAAGTAGAAATCTGATCTCAGATCTGTGGATTTTCTCCATGTATGGGTAGAAGTAGCTCTACGATTAGCCTGTGTGAACAGTCCTTATTCTTGTGCCTTGGGCATCACTGCCCCACTCCCATCGTGGCAACATACCTGTGTTTAGGCTTTAGGCCAAACATCTTGTGGTCAAACCTTTGGTTCATCTTTTTCTCCAAAAAACTGTTTACTAATGATTGACCACAAATCTTCGAAAGAAAATGCTTATATCGAGAAGAGAATAACACATCAAAAGGATAACCATAGTCTGCTACACGATTCAGGATCCAAGCCCCTCTCCTGGTGCTGAGGAAAACCTGGGGCATGGGGGAAAAAATTGTTTGCTTTTGTCATTCTCTGCTCATAATCCTTTAATAGCACCCCACTCTCTTCAAGATTAACTTCAAACTCATTTGTCAGTCTTTTTAGTCCCTGTGCAATTTTTTTTTTATATCCTGCAATTTACCTTTTCAAACACTAAGAATACAATTAAATTAGTACACTCACTGACCAAGAATGTGTCTTTCAATCACCACTGCATTTCTGTTTAATGTCATTATGCCTCCTTGAAAAGCCACCTATTTTCTTAATTCTCCAAAGCCTATTTATTGTTAAGATCCAGATAAGTGTGCCTCCTCCATAAGACACCACTGACCGTTCTGCTTGACAATTTTCTCTCCATCCTTTGAACTTCTCTAGCACTTAACCTGCCCAACTCTTGTAAAATCAAGGAGCAGTAGAACTGAAAGCAATCAGATGTCATTTAATCTAAAACCCTCAGTCTCTTTTGCCTTTGACATTATTTGCATTATTACCAAAAACCCCTGTTATTTATCATGTATACTGATATTAAATTTTTTACACTTCTGTCTCTGCAAATGTGTTTCACCCAGGGTGGGAGGCACAGAAGAGACATCTTTCAGTCTCTCCAACACATCATCATTGCTTCTATTTATTGAGAATTGTGACCTGTAACCCACTGTGCCAGGTCCTTTAATCTATATTCTTACTCAATCAATACAACAACCTCTTGAAGTAGGTATTATTATCCCCATTTTACGGATGAGAGGCATGGAGAAAATGCATAGCTTGCCTGAAATCATACAGTTAGTAAGTGGCAGAGTTGAATTTCCAGCCCAGGTCTGATGACCCCAAAGCCTGTGCTTGAAGAAGTGTTTCATTGATTATTTAACGGTAAAACTGCAGATCACTAGTAGAACAACAGGAAGCTGGTCAGTTTTTAGGTGCCCTCTGCTGGCTAAAGTCCATGTTCAGAGCTGATAAACTTTTGACATTCAATTACCTGGTGAAAGTATCACTTTCTCTACAAAACTCTCTGGAGATAGTTTCCAGAATTGTAAGGTACATGAGTACCTGCTCTATGGTCTTTTGTCTATAAACTCTCATATAAAAAGGTGACCAGTCTACAGAGGGATAATAATGTACTTCACTCATACATTCTCTCTGATGGTAACCTTACACACTCTGATGATTAAGCACAGTTGAAAGAGCATTTTTGGTCTTAGGAATCACACAGCTTTGTGTGAAGTCTGTATAACTTTTGTTATATAAGTTATATTGTGAGTAAATGCTCAGAGTCTCAATTAAAAGATTCCCTATGTATAAAGTAGTGACAATAATACATCCCAAGGCTGTTGTGAGAATAGTGCACCACCTGCAAAGGGTGGGACATATAGTAAACACTCAATAAATGCTTAATGGCTTTCGTCATACTTCTCATTTCAGTTTTCCATGTATACCTTGTTTTAAGCAAACACCGTATTTACAAGTCTGGATTTATACGAAAAAAATGTAAGGAACGTTGTTTTATAAGAAATGGGTGTTTTCTCTTCACAAAAGCGTTTTATCACAAAATTTATTATACTCAAACTTCCTTGATATACTGAAACTTATAGGTCCCTTTAAACTTTTTGATCTGCAAACAAATTCTAATAAACACAATTTAATATGTAAAGCAAAAAGTTAGAACCCGGCAACTGAGTTTGTTTGGCTTGCATCAGTGGTGTGCTGAGGTCAGCCCTGCCGTGCAGACGTGGTTGTACAGTGTGTTGTCCCCAGGCCTTCTCAGACACAGCCACCTTATCTCCATCCACTCTGGATGCTTCCTTTGGCAATCTACAGTTCCTCAGTGCATGGAAGGCCCAGCTCCCTTATAACTGACCACGTGATAAGCCAGTGATATTCATATTAAAGAAGACTCATGCTTTGGGTCCCCATCATATACCTTGCACACTCTTTTATCATAACACCTATACAAATTTTTACCCTTTTTTGTTTATATACCTATTTCCTGATCAAGCTTGTTGAATTAATTTATAGGGCAACATATTAAATTACTTTTGTGGCAATAGATGGGGATAATACTGAGAAGTGTTACTGAATGGAGTTTCTGGGTAAAGTCATGGCATTAAACTTCTATTTTAAAAAGATTTTAAACATATTTGTGGAGAAACACAGCTTAATTAAAGTTACTGGGAAATGACCACTTACCTATTGCCAATAAAGTTATTCAATACAGACATGAATAACAAGATATAAAATGATATGTCTTTTTCTAGGAATTTATAATGAAGACATTTTCTTTCCAGCTCAAAATCTATGCTCCAAAAAACAAAACAGCTCAGGTCTTTTTTTTTTTTTTAACACTGGAGTGCAAATTTGGAACCCAAAAAACAAAACAAAACAAGAAAACTCTAGGACATAGAAATTGCTTTAGAGTGAATGTCATTCTGATACCTAACTGTATGCAAAGGCTGGGGTGAACTCCTTGCACATGCTACAGCGTGGATGCTTTTCATACCAATATCCACGTTGTCTTTGGAAAGATTAGACTGTTTCTATTTTCCATTTGGGGAGTGAAGAGGAAAATTCCCCCACCATCCTCTGAGTGCAAAGCCTTCCGCTAAACCAGTGTGCTTTCCTTCATATGAGAGTGTGGCACTTCCGCTAGCCTAAACAGGAGCCACACTCTGAATGCTGCTTTCGACCAAGTTCCCCAGGCAACTGCTTGGTCTTCAAAGTCAGAGGCATACTCAGAAGAGACAGCTGATTGAGATCATTGGGATTCTTTAGTGTGAGGTCAACGGGAATGATGGGAATCTAACAGGGAACATTGGCTCCATCATATCATGGTCATAATGTTGCCAACTGAGGCAATGGAGCCAAGCCCTATGTTTGCCATTGGCACGGATGGGCTATGTGCAGAGGCATTCGTACTCTATGTTGGGTCTACAGACTGCTTCCTTGATGAGGCAAAGTAAATAATTTACTGATTCAAACCTGCTTGGCTGTGTGGGAAATTTCCACAGCCAGATCCCCTCCAGAATTCCCAATGCCAATTATAATGACTCTCTTTCCAGTGAAAATATCTGGATTCTTATAGTCTCGGCTATGGAAGTACTGTCCTTTGAACTTCTCAATTCCTGCAAGAGAAGGGAAAAGAATTATCGGATGAGGTTTATCTGCTATCATTTGTCAAACCATTCATTTTGCTGGCAGTGTGTAGAGTTTAAGCACACATCTCCATATATTCTCCCTTTACTCAGCCGCATGCTTGCCTTTCTGAATATTTTTGCCTATTTTCTTTTCTCACAGTCTCAGAGCAGAACCTTGTGACTTCCTTACCACGGATAGTCTGCTTACCTCAGGATCTGCTTGTATTTTGGACTTGTAGACTCCCAAATCCAAACTGCTGCAGAAAACCTCCTTTCTCTTTTGTCTTTTCATATTTAAATACCTACTCCCATTTCAATTGGAGTACATATGTTTTCATATACTCTAGAGTATACTAGAGTGCTTTTTTTTTTTTCCAAAATGAAAATCCAGGTCAAAAACTATAATTAAGTTCTTTAAGTTTTCATTTCTTCCTTAGAAACTCAATATTTGTTTGTTTCCTTGATTGCTGAAAAAGTCTTTATTCAACCTAATACGGATCAACTCCATGTTCTTTCTTTTGCTCCTTAGAAAAACTAAGGTTGTTGTGAAACCAAAGATAGAGCCCTCTAATTTTTCTCTAGTCTCCAAAATTAATGTTATTTCTACCTCCCAAATGGCAGTAATCAAAGTTGCGCCAACATCTTTCAGGGGAACATGCAGAATTAGGATAAGCTTTATCATCCTTAGGTAGGAATCACTCAGGCCACAATCCTCCCATTCCTCAGAGATCGGGTCACAGGCATGGCTCAAGGGTTTCCTTCCTTGTAGGCTACTCACCAGGAAAGCTTTCCAAGGGTAAGTGAGCATTGGTGTGATGGCCAGTGCAAACCATGACTCCATCAAAGACATTTACCTCCTTTTTCCCTTCAGATTCTGTGACTACCTCCCATTGGCCTGAAGTGGAGAAATCAGGCTGCTTCTTCACACTGCACACAGTGGTCTGAAAAGAAAAGTGATAGCTACAGGAGACTAACCACAGCCAATACAGTGGACATCTTCCCTGACATGACTCTCTTTGCAGAGTGTTACACAAAGGGCTAATATCACATAATAGAGCTCATGCAGCGATATTTGATTTTCATATTCCACACACAAGAACTTCTTTGTCTGGGGCTGTGGTCAGAGTGAGAAAACTCCCATGAGGCAGGCTAAATAAAATTGTTGGCAGGTTAATGTTGCACTCTTCTCTGCTTCTAGAAAAGTGCAAATTACTCATTCTCTTAGACCATGCCCTAAGATGTCATGAGACACGTGAATAGAACTTAGGTTTCTCCTGTGCTTCTACGGCACTCCATGCACTAAATGCCTATTCCTCTCCTGACCCCCAGACATCCTGGGACCCTCTGATATCTTTTTACCCCAAGTCCTGTTCTCACTGTCTAGGCTTAAACTTGTGACTGAGTCAATGAACCTCTCTTTGGCTCCCATAAATGCCAATTTTACAAGTAATTATAAAGAAAGAGGCTGCAAGATGGGATAGTCAGTGGTATAACTTTTAGGTTTAAAAAAATATTTTTTTCTATCCAGCCTAAGGAAACATTAAGAATGTATTCCTATGTGGTTCTAGGGTCTCTGACCGTAATGTCTTGGTGGACTCCTAGAGATACCATCTCTGTACACCCTAGCCATCCTGCACTATTTAGAGTTCTTCTCTAGAAGGTTCTTGCTTTTACACAGGCTTGTGCCTCTGCACGGGTCATCTTTTATTTGTTCATTTGGCAGATTCCTACTTACCTTTCAACATTTACCTAACATATTATCTCCTCTAAAAAAACTTCCCTGGTGCCTATTGTCTCATGCCCTGATGGGTTAAACACCCTTCCTCTGAGCTAACAATATATAAATCTCTATGGCATTTATTACCCTGTAACTCTTTACTTTTATTAGTTAAATTTATAGAAATTTTTTTCTTCATTTTTATATCTTCTTAACTAGACTATGAAATCATTGACTTTTTTTTGTCTTTGTGTCTCCACTGATTAGTACGGTAACAAACTTGTTAAATGTGTTTAACAACAAGTGAAGGGAAGTCACTGAGCTATAAAAGACTTACTTTGGAAGTTGTCACTGGATATTACCACTTTATTATCATTGTTAAATAGAAAAAGTCATGATTTAGCAGAATGATCAGAAGGTAGAAGGGAGGTGGGGGTGGGGAACTGGATGCAGATGGTCAAGAGGTACAAAATTCCAGTTATAAGATAAATAAGTACTGGGGATGTAATAATGTACAATGTGATGACTATAGATAATACTGCTGTATGGTATATTTGAAAGTTTTTAAGAGAGTAGATCCTAATAGTTCTCATCACAAGGGGAAAAAAAAGGTAGAATATTTAGGCTTTTTGCCAGCTGTCAGAAATACGTGTTCTTCTATGGCCATGGTTAAAGATGATAGAAAAATCGGGCTCCTGGGTGGCTCAGTCAGTTAAGCCTGCCTTTGGCTCAGGTTGTGATCCCAGGGTCCCGGGATCAAGTCCTGCATCGGGCTCCCTGCTCCATGGGGAGCCTGCTTCTCCCTCTCTCTCTGTCTCTCATGAATAAATAAAAATAAAATCTTTGAAAAAAAAGATGATAGAAAAATCAAGGAAGACTTAACAACAGGAAGGAACCATTGAACTGATCTGATATAATCATCTTGTTTTACCAACAAGAAAATTTTTACAAACAAAACAAGAGACATCAAAGTTGAGGAACTTACTTGTCTGAAGTCACAAGTTGATTAGTGGTAGAGCAAAGACTAGAACTCAAGTTTTTGTTCCCCAATTAGTGTTCTTCCCTCTATACCAGAGTTAATTTCTTGGCTTCCTCAATAACTTCCCAATAACTGCTTCACTAGGTTGTTTGCGATCACATAAACATAATGCATTGGTGTGATCTGATGAACAATGGGTGTTATACGCAACTGATAAATTGTTGAACACTACATCTGAGACTAAGGATATGTTGGCTGATTGAATTTAAATTTAAAAAAATGCATTGGCAAGTACTTCAGAAAGTATAAAAGGGCTAAGCAGCAGCAGATAAGCTGTGGTGGACCCAGAAGTTTCCATACCTGTCAGTTCCCCTCAGTAACTGGGAAAACACTTGCCCTCATTTGTTTTATTGCAATCAAATAGTATAAAGTGAAGGAATGAGAACATTCTGGCAGGTGGCTTCTAGGATCTGCAGCCAAAATATATAGAAAAAGGACCTTTCCATGGATGTATTTCAGGCACAAAGACAAAAGAATGGAGTCTTTGTCTGGATAGGGTAGATATATGGGCATATTAAGCCAGGCTTTACACATAAGCACTGGTAAATTAAGCCACATTATTCACTTATTTTACAAACAACTTCAAACACAAAGACACCCACAAAATTCCCTACCTTAAAGCGAATATATTTTAGAAGATCAAATTCTTTGGCATACATCCTGAAATACTCGAGGACCTGGGAGTTGTGCATGAAGTTAGGATAATGATCTGGGATGGGATAGTCACTGAAGCACATCATCTCCTTAGATGTGTTGATGATCACTGATTTGTAAATACTGGCCCTTCCTTCTTCAGGATTTTCCTGCATTAAATAAGAAGCATTCATAGCAACTTGAGAATTAACTTCATGGTTTATTAACAGTCAATAAACATTTGAAAAAGTTTTCTGAAAGAAATGCCAATTAAAAAAAGTTATATAGACACACACACCCCTCCACATCTCCCAGTATTTGTGCCCTTGTGTAGTCTCTTCCCTTTGAATCTGAGTTGTCTTTGTGACTTGCTTTAGACCAATAGCATGCAGTTGGAATGATACCTGGATAGCTTCCAAGTCAGTCCTAAGTAGTCTTGCAGCTTCTGCCCTCTGTCTCTTAGAAAGCTTGATCTGGTAGAAGTCAGCAGATATGTAAGAAGTCCAACTACCTTAAGTCACCATTCTGTGAGTAAGCCCAAGTCAGACACGTGAAGAGAATGTTTGGGATACAGAGATGTGTAGCCAGCCCCCAGAAATTTGATTTATCCCAGCTGAAGTTCTAAACATGTGAACAAAGAGACCACAGCAGATATATAGTTTCAGTTGTCACCTAATTGCAATGATGTGAGGCTCCAAGTGAGAACTGCTCATCTGAATAATAGTCTTATAAATATTTTATATATTTCAAAGCCTAGATGAATTTCAAGGGTTGTTGTACACTGGCAAGACTGCGCTCCAGGAAACATTGTACTAACTTCTATTCTGTCCACATATGTTCCCATATTACCTCATTTTTTTTACTCATTTAAAAAAAATTTTTAAATTTTATTATGTTATGTAGTCACCATACAATATTTTTTACTCATTTAAAAGACTATTACTCGGTATTAGCACAAACAGAAACTTATGAAATGGGAACTTATGCTGGAGAGAGTGAAGTTAGTACAATGTTTTCTGGAGAGCAATGTGGCAAGAATATGAAAACCCTTGAAACTTACTTAGCTTTTTAAGAAATATTCAGCGTAGTAGACAAAGTTATGTTAAATGATGTTAATGATAGCATTATTTATAGAAAAGAAATAAGCTAAGTGCCTGTGATATTGTGACTTATAAGAAATATATGTTTGGTCATTCAGATGACCAAAAAATATCTCTCATATGTATTTGGGTCTTTGTATGTATTTTGCATATATATGTGGACTTGCCTACAGTTCCTGACTCGTAGCTCCCCAAACCCTTGGAATTTCCTAAGTGTTAAGAATGATAAAGATGTCTTTTGTTGTGTTAATGAAGTGACTTTTGGAAACCACTTAAGGATAGGGGCTGATTGCCAAAGGAGCCAACTAAGGGGAGCCGGGGTGGCTCAGTCAGTTAAGCATTCCACTCTTGATTTTGGCTCAGGTAGTGATCTCAGGGTTATGAGATTGAACCCCATGTTGGACTCTCCTGCTGAGCAGGGAGTCTGCTTGAGATTCTTCTCTCCCTCTCCTTCTGCCTCCCCCCACCCCACCACCACCACCACACATGCTCTCCCTCTCTCTCTCAATTAAAAAAAAAAAAAAAAAAAGAGTCAACCAAGTGATTAAAGGGCTAGAACTTTCAATCCCACCCCCACCCCCACCACCGACCTTTGGGGAGGGGAGAGAGGCTGGAAGTTGAATAAATTGTCAATGGCCATGATTTAATGATTTCATCAACCATGCCTACATAATGAAGCTTCCATAAAAATGCAAAAGGATGGGGTTTGGGGAGCTTCCAGACTGGTGAAGCTGAGGAGATATGGGGAGAGTTAGAGTACTCAGAAAGAGCACAGAAGCTCTGTGTCTTGTCCCCATACCTTGTCCTATGCATTTCTTCCATTTGGCTGTTATAAGTTATATCCTTTTATAACAAACTGGTAAACTAGTGAGTAAATGGGTTTCCTGAGTTCTGTGAGCCACTATAGCAGATTAATCAAACCCAAAGAGGGGGTCATGGGAACCTCTGATTTATAGCCAGTTGGTCAGAAGTATAAGTAATAACCTGGATTTGTGACTGGTATCTGAAGTGGGGTGCAAGTGGGTGGCCCTTTCACAACTTTAAAAGTACATATTACTGCTTCTCCATTTGGAAAATTCCTATCATTCAAGAGTCACATCAAATGGCACTTCTTTGAAGAAGACTTTTCTGTTTTCCCCACAGAGTTAGATGTCCCATTCATATCCAAGTTCTCAAAGGCAACTTAAACTTAACACTGTATTATTCTGTATATGTTTCTATGACTGTGAGGTACCTGAGAATAGGATGTATATCTTATTCTTCTTTGTGTCTCTATCATCAACACAGTGCCTGATATATAGTGGATGTTCAATAAGTGCTTTGAAATGAATTAATGACTGAATTATGGAAAATGAATTTGGAGACACCTAAACTGTAATTTTCAAATCTATGTAGGAACATTGAAAATGACCTATAATATACCTTTTAGTAAAAAAAAAATTAATATTACAAAATTAAATTCACATTCTCACCATCAAATATATAAAATTATGTCTGCATGCAATGTATACTACCTATATTTACCCATGTTTATATAATTATGCATTGTAAAACCTCTCCCCTGTCAGATGGTTCTCTCTGAGTATATTTTATTTATTTTAAGCCAATAAAACTTGAAAATAGGAAAAACAAGTTGATTTATTAATGAGGTAGTAATTTTCTTTTGTTTTTGTTGAAATGTTGTTTATACAACACCCATTCATGATTTAAAAAAGAAAAACCTTCAGCAAACTAAGAATAGAAAAAAAATTTCTTCAGTTTGATTAAAAAAAAAATCTACAAAATACCCACAGCTAACATCATAACTAAATGTGAGAAAATGGACAATTTCCCCCTTAAAATTGGGAACAAGGCAAAGATGTCCTCTCTCACCATTCCTGTTCAACACTGTACTAGAAATCCTAGTTGATGTAATAAGACAAGAAAAGGAATAGTGGCTGTACCAGATTGCATTCCCACCAACAGTGCAAGAAGGTTCCCCTTTGTCCACATCCTCGCTAATACCTGTTATTTCTTGTGTTGTTGATTTTAGTCATTCTGACAGGTGTGAGGTGATATCTCATTATAGTTTTGATTTGTATTTCCCTGATGATCAGTGATGTTGAGCATCTTTTCATGTGTCTGTTGGCCATCTATAGGTCTTCTTTGGAAAAATGTCTATTCATGTCTTCAGCCCACTTTTCCATTGGATTTTTTGTTTTTTGGGTGTTGAGTTTGATAAGTCTTCATAGGTTTGGGATACTAACCCTTTATCAGATATATCGTTTGCAAATATCTTCTCCCATTCCATAGGCTGCCTTTTAGTTTTGTTGATTGTTTCCTTTGCTGTGCAGAAGCTTTTTATTTTGATGAAGTCCCCATAGTTTATTTTTGCTTTTGTTTCCTTTGCCTTAGAAGATGTATCTAGAAAGAAACTGCTATGGCCTAGGTCAAAGAGGTTGCTGCCTGTGTTCTCCTCTAGGATTTTTATGGTTTCATGTCTCACATTTAGGTCTTTATTCCATTTTTAATTTATTTTTGTGTGTACTGTAAGAAACTGGTCCAGTTTCATTCTTTTACATGTTGCTGTCCAGTTTTCCCAACACCATTTGTTGAAGAGACTTTTTTCCATTGGATATCCTTACCTGCTTTGTCGAAGATTAATTGCCCATATAGTTGTGGGTCCCTTTCTGGGTTTTCTATTCTGTTCTATTGATCTATGTGTCTATTTTTTGTGCCAGGACCATACTGTTTTGATTACTACAGCTTTGTAATATAACTTGAAATCTGGAATTGTGATGCCTCCAGCTTTGCTTTTCATTTTCAAGGTTGCTTTGGCTATTTGGGGAAAATAGTATGGAGGTTCCTCAAAAAGTTAAAAATAGAACTACCCTATGACCCAGCAATTGCACTACAAGGTATTTACCCAAAGAATACAAAAATACTAATTCTAAGTTTAGTATAAGGAGTAGAACCATGCTTTCTAGAGCAGGTCAGTTGGGTTCACAGAGCTAAATGCATCACAGATCTTACCCCTGTGGCAAAACTCATATATTTATATTCTTTTACATGTTACTAACACAGCAAAGTGTTTTCTTATGTCAACAAAAACCATCAAGGGGCACCTGGGTGGCTCAGTCGGTTAAGTTTCTGCCTCCAGCTCAGATCGTGATCCCAGGATCCTGGGATCAAGTCCTGCATTGGGCTCCCTGCTCCATGGGGAGCCTGCTTCTCCCTCTGCCTCTCTCTCTTTCTGTCTCTCATGAATAAATAAATAAAATCTTAAAAAAAAAATCAAGCTATTCCAAACTCCTGATTGGACCCCAGGTAGGGTTTACCACTGTGTTAAACCACTGCTTTTTATAAAAGAGAGTGGGAACAGAGCAATACTGGATCAGTGAGTGGAAGAAGAAGCTGTTGCACTGGGGTTTTAAATTTTTCTACCATAATTAATAAATCTGCCCTCTACAAATGTACCTTGATTGTATTTCCTGCCTAAGCACATGACTCACACATATGAACAGGAAGTTCATACAAGAAAAGAGAATAGGGGCAGTGTTGCTCTTCTGTTCCTTTGACAAACTCAGAATTCCATGGGACAAAAGCTCTCTTAGGACTGTTCTCAACCTTGTCTGCACATTGGGATAATCTGGGGAATTCTAAAAAACACTAAGGCCTGGTCCCTACTCCCAGAGACCCTGTTTTAATTGCTCCTTGTCTAATATGCAGACAAGGTTGAGATCTGCTGGTAAGAGGTAGTGTGCTGGCCCCAGAAAGCTCAGGGCACCAGAGTTCATCCCATCAACCTCAAAAGTCATTTCTCCACACATTCTTAGCTAAATTGCAAAATGCTTGAGGACAGCGGCAGGAGTTTATCTTTATTTCGACATCGTCTAACAAAGTCCGAAGATCAATACACTGGTACTGATTTTGTTTTAAAGATGCCATGTCATCCTCATTTATCAACTGGAAAGCTGGGGTTAAAAACTAAAGGGCAATGGTCTCCACACCAGCTGCACATTAGAAATAAGTGGTGGAGAGTGTTATTGGCATCACAGGCCAATAAAACAAGAACTTCTAAATGGGCTGAC